ATTTTTTTTGTTTTGTTTATTTTGTCAGCATATTTGCACCAAACCTCTATTAATTTCCAACTATGGCATGAAGTAATAAAGAAATATTTTTTATCTTTACAAGTACACACACACAGTGTAAGACCCTTTCACGTCACCACCGTGTGGATATTTTTACTAATGATTTCTCACAAAACATTTTTTTTTAAACTTCATTTACACTTACTGGACAGTGTAAAACAAAAATAAAGAGAAATTCCTTAAGCTTCTCCCTTTAATAGCAATGTTCTAAACACACAAGACATGGCCTCAGAGATATTTGTAGACTACTTTTTCTTCTACCGTCTGCATCTCGATTTGAACAGGACATTTGTAGAAATGTGAGAGCAGTTCCTCTGTGTAACCAATGAGAAAGTAGAATTTTGACGGTAAGAGTTTCTGTATCATCACAGCACAGATGACTAGGAGGTTTCCTCTGCGTTTGATCACCACCTCATCCGCTAAACAGCCGTGAAACGTGCCGTACATGAAGCGTCTGATGAAGACATCCTCCACAACACGCTCCGCCGCTCCATCTTCACCCTGAAGATTACCTATGGGACGAGGAAGTGTATGAAACAATGTTATTAACAGATATTACAGGCAACTGAATCAACAAGGTCTGGATTACCAGCTCTTATAGCGTCAGTAATTTTAGGAACCCAACAGGTTAAGGAGTGGAGATGTAATACAAAGATTGTGACTTACTGGTGTGTTGCGAGAGCCAGCCTTTCCTGTGCCCGATGTGATGAGGGTGATACGCCTGCTCATAAGTCACTGACTTGTCTCCTTTACCCACTCGAATACGAGCTGCACGGTTCTGTTAGAGAGGAGACAGATCCTCTGGGTTAAAAATGCAGATGAAAAATACTGATTCTGCTGATACTGGAAGCGGTCGAATCCGTTTCTGTCCTTCCGTCATATAATATTCGATTTGTCCAGGCTTTGTTTCAAAGGGATTTCGTCTACTACTGATGGTCCGATGTAGAATTAAATCTGAAAACGACTTCAAGTTCACGTTTATTTATAAAGCACATTTAAAAACAACGAGTGTTGTACCAAAGTGTTGTACAATTGTAAACCGTTTTTGGCAAGATAAAAATAAAAACTAACACATAAGATAAAAATGTGTGTATAAATGTAAATATGGGGCAAATAAGGCTGTGTTTTAATTTTAAAGGCAGAAGCTCAACAATAGATCAAATAGAAAGCTGTAAAATGTGTTAACATTTTCAAACATTTTAATGTTTTTTCGTACTTTTGCTTTACCATATGTACCCCACTTGACTATACATAGAAAAATAGAAGATAGAATAAATTTAATTTAATGCGCTTGGATAAACAAGATGCACAAAAGTCACTGGAGTTCACATACCTTCAAACAAGCTGCAGTGCAGTGAATGTTCCTGAAACATGCAGCAGAATTTAACTGGCTGCTCACAATCTAGGAAATAGAGAATATTTGATAAATGACATCTAAATCGTGATTTCCATCCCACATTACATTCAGTGCCAGTATCTGTCTGTCTATCTATATATCTATCCGACCGCTTCTACGTCAGTTACTCTTGATTAGAAACAAGTTATTAGTTATAATAGCAAAAAAAAAAGTCAAATTCTTACCGACAGCAATTTTGTTTGTCTGACCAAGGACGCCGCCATGTTTTTTCTCATTCACTGCACACAGCCGTCAGCCGTCAAGAGCGCATTACTGCCACCTGCCGCACGGGAATTACATTTTATACCGTGTTATGTGCAGCGTTGGGGAAAGTTACTTTTAAAAGTAATGCGTTACAATATTGCGT